CCGCCGCTTTGTCTTCAACTTCGCGGATATTGCTAGGCCCCTCACAGATCTCCTCAAAAAGAATGTGGCCTTTTCTTGGGGAAGGGACCAAGAACATTCCTTCGCATCGCTAATTACCGCCCTCACATCACCACCTGTGTTGACTCACTTTGATCCAGCAGCTCGAACAGAGCTTCGCACCGATGCAAGCGGCCATGGCATTGGTGCTATACTCGCTCAGATACAGAATGGCACCAACCGTGTGATAGCCCACGCTAGCCGCCTTTTATCGCAAGCGGAACAAAATTATTTCATCACTGAGCGGGAATGCTTGGCCCTCGTTTGGGCTATTGCGAAATTCTGTTCGTACTTATATGGACGTTCGTTCGCAGTCATCACGGACCATCATGCGTTTTGCTGGCTGTCAACGCTTAAGGACCCTACAGGAAGACTCGGCCGATGGGCACTTCGATTACAGGAGTACACGTTCTCGGTTGTTTACAAATCTGGAAAGCTGCACAGCGATGCTGACTGCTTATCCCGGCGCCCCGTTGATCCACCTAGCTCCACTGATTTGGAATCCGATGCCTGCGTTTTAGCCATCACTGACTTTCTGAACGTGGCCGACGAACAGCGCCGGGATCCATCGCTGCTCACCATCATTAACCGCCTTTAATCACGTTTGACCCTTCTCTTAGCAGATACCTGCTTCAAGACAATATTTTGTACCGCTGCAACTTACACCCCGACGGCGCGGAACTTTTACTCGTCGTACCGCATCACCTGCAAAAGGATGTTCTGCAACAATTCCATGACGCTCCAACTTCTGTACATCTAGGAGTCTCCAGAACTTGCGACCGCATTCGACAACGAGTATTCTGGAAGGGTCTCTACCACTCTGTTCGCCATTACGTCGCATCTTGCGACCTCTGCCAGCGCCGAAAGAAGCCTACGACTCTCCCTGCTGGTCAACCTATTTTTCAACCTATTGAAGTTCCAGGCAAGCCATTTTATCGAGTGGGGTTGGACTTGCTAGGTCCCTTTCCTACTTCTACAACTGGAAATAAATGGATTGCGGTGGCTACAGACTATGCCACTCGGTATGCAATCACTCGAGTGCTACCAACCAGCTGCGCAACCGACGTTGCCGACTTCCTGCTGTACGACGTTATTCTCCAGCATGGCGCTCCGTCTCACCTGCTCACAGACCTTGGTCGCTACTTTATATCTCGTGTGGTTAATGATCTACTCCGATCTTGTGCTACCCGTCACAACTTCACAACATCTTACCACCCTCAGACTATTGGCCTTACGGAGCGGCTAAATTGCACACCATGTACGTATCTACCGACCACACTAATTGGGACATAGCTCTTCCGTTCGTAACCTTCGCCTATAACTCGTCGCGTCATGTAACAGCGGGCTACTCCTCTTTTTATCTACTCTTCAGACGTCATCCTTTACTGCCCTTCGACACACTGCTTTCATTAGACCATCCATCCTCCGCTTCGTACGCTCAGGATGCGATCACCCGTGCCCTCACACCGCGCATGCTCAGTTGTTGTCGTCACAGACAGCACAGAAGTCCCTTTATGACCGTCGACATAGAGATGTCGTTTTTTCTGTGGGAGCTCTTGTTCTCGTGTGGCTCCGATCTCGACGTGTTGGCCTCTGCGAGAAACTACTGTCGCGATACACTGGGCCCTACAGAGTCATTCGTCAGGTCACACCTGTGACCTACGAGATTGCCGCTACCACAAACTCATCAGCTGCTGCACCCAGAATGCAAGCAGTCCACGTTTCTCGTCCCAAGCCCTACAACGCCGACTCGCTACAACGCCGACACACAGCACGAGCGCTCGTGCTATGTGCCACCTCTTTGCTTCGTGTCTGTGTTCTTCCCGCGCTACCAGTTCGCTGATCAATCAAGAACTGCACCTCTGCAATCTCTGTTTTAAACAGTGACGTCATTGTGGTCGTCTGCTTGTTGTGCTCATCTGTACTTTAGTTTCAGTTTCGCCACAAAATTAAGGAGAACTTTATTACTTTTCAATAACTACAAGAGGCCGGTTTTTCAAAATTAGCTGCCAAAATTAGCTCAGAATGCGAATTGCGTAACGGGTGGGTCACCCAATGCTCCAGCCCATTAGAAAACTTGTTTTTGATCACCTATTAATTATGGCCCATACCCACTTCATGCATATTCCTTCATCATTGTCAGCCACTGCATAAAGTAGCAGCCTCCGCTAATTTATAAAAGTTAATTAAATGAACTTTCCTAATCACCATTCTAAATTATATCTTTAACCCTCCCAAGATGCCTGTTGCTACAAAAAAAGCATCTGTGATGACAGCGAGCAAATAAGGCCTTTTCCTAATTAAAAAAAAAATACTGGCCATATTTCTTGAAATGCCCTGTATATATACTATGTGCCTTATAAAGGCAGCCCCTCTTGCTGGAAAGGAAAAGATAAACATGTTTTTGTACGCTGGCCTGTCATTTCTCGATGCATAGAAAGCACTGGATCTGCAAAAATACTTTTCTGTCTCCCTCTTTTTGTACATAATATATTTCTAAGGGCATATCAAGTGTACCTAATCACTTTTCGACCATCTCTAGTAGGTATGTTAAAAAAAAAACATGCAGGTATATGTGAATATGAGAAGTAATAGGCATTATATTTTGAAAAAAACATTTTGTTTTGCCTAATGGTCACCTTAAACTTTGGCCACCCAAGTAAAACTGTGTCGTGCTAAATATTTCATATAATATTACTGGTTTCAGAAATACTGCAAATCAATTTCTTCCTTCATCTCAAGGCGCTACATTTTCATGACTTCGACACTATATTCCTTTTTGTTTTACTTTACTTCTGTTTCCTTACATGTTTATCGTTTTTTTGTAAAAAGCACATTTTTTTTCAGTAATATATCTATATTTCTGTTTTATAAGTTACTACATTAAACAATTACAATACTGTGGGAGCAAATAAAGCAAGAATATGGCTAAAATATTGTGACAAAGTGGGGATAAATAGCACTTTGACTCATATTGCGGCTTAATTTTCGTAATCTAGTAGTCCAAGGAAAAATATGACTTATATATTGTTGCATGGCATGCTTTCTTGGTAACGCATGCAGAGTGTTTCATGAGAGTAATTTTTATTTTAAGAAAAAAAATAATTGTCCATTTGAGCAACCACAAGGTCTTAGGAAGTCTGCCCTTTCCTCACTTTCACTGCATTGCACATCAGTGTGACGTAAAAGTGGGGGCTTTTTGGCAATAAAGAATGTATGTCATACAACTGCTTGTGACTTGCTTTGGTATTACTGCTGCATAGAATGTCAAAAAGGGGCAATAGTGCTAACTTATAGAATGGTATACGCTCAATTGCTGAACAATTAAAAGGCAGATCATATTCGACGGCTAAATGAAACCCTCACGTAGCGAGGGTCTTGCTCTGCCTTGAGATGGTAGGCCAGGGATCATTGCCAGTTGCCATCTTATGATAGAATTACAAACCATGTGATGCCAAAACAGGCAAAAAGTGTTCCACACTCACCCCAATGTTAACAGGTGGCATTGAGCTCCCACGTGGACAGAGGGCTGACCGTCACTGTAGCTCAGCGGTAAAGTAGCAGAGGCCTTTGAATACTCACCGTGTGATGTTTGTATTGCTGATCACAAGATACATAGCAAAGTGAATTGATTGTATATGTACTTCCTCGCTTTGATACTATACCCTCATTTAACATTTAGACACTACAGAACGCATGTGAGGGGGTTTTCCTCCAACTATAGGTCATGCAATCCTCAGTTGTAGTTGCGAGTTGCAGCAAGGCGATATAACTGAAACTCATTTTGCCCTGTACCCATGGGCTGCAGCTTGCTTTAATGATCTGCCTACTTTTCTGAAGTGTGTATTGGCGGAAGAAGCTTTTTTCAGGTCTTTGATTGTGACAAAAGCTTGCCTCGACACCCACGAAAGAGGATGTTTTATCAAGGCCTATGCACATTCGCTTGAGAACGTTCCTCTTTGTACTACCCAGCTAGGGCTAAGGTTCTGATGGAGGCGCTGTTGGCGGTGTATAGACGTCAGGCACTGCCTGGGCAGTGCCTGACGTCTATAGGCAAAAGGCGAAGATGAATGGCTATTCGAAAATCGTGAAGCGTGACAACCGATTTCATTTTCCCAATGTTCGATTTTGCATTTTATCGGTATATTGGAAGCACACCGTAATTAGAACAAAGATAAGATGTTACATTGTGCCCTACAATGGTGGCGCGCCCCGCCGCGGTGGTCTAGTGGCTAAGGTACTCGGCTGCTGACCCACAGGTCGCGGGTTCAAATCCCGGCTGCGGCGGCTGCATTTTCCGATGGAGGCGGAAATGTCGAGGCCCGTGTGCTCAGATTTGGGTGCACGTTAAAGAACCCCAGGTGGTCAAAGTTTCCGGAGCCCTCCACTACGGCGTCTCTCATAATCATATGGTGGTTTTGGGACGTTAAACCCCACAAATCAATCAATTACAATGGTGGCGCAAAGCTGAGCATGCTCGGATGCTGTAGCAGAAAATTTGTTTTCAACAAGGCAACAAGTGGTGGTTGCATTTTTATCATATTATGTGCAGCCTGCGCTCTCTTGAAGATCGTAAAAAGCACCAAGCAGGGAGAAACAGCTGATTTGTAGTTTGCTGCACTTTCAAGTGCAATCAATAAAAAGATGCTAGTGCATCAATTTGGACTTGCCTACTTTTTACATTTCATTCTTTATTTAGGTATTTGCTGACTTAAGTAAAGTACGGCACTGAATAACGCTGCAACATTATTCAACTAGCTTAGATTCTGAAGGTAAGTATACTTCCAGAATATTACTGTTGTTTCTTTAGTGGCAGTATGCACTTACAATTTCGTACATTGTCCATGTGCATGCTTTTTATTTGTTGATTTGTTTTCTTTGTCAATGTGCAAACAAAAGTGAACTGCGAAAAAAATATTGTAACAATGGTGTTACTTCTTCAGGTATGTTCTGTTCACTTTGTTGATGGGCGTCCAACCGAGGAGAATCCCTATCCAACTCTACATCTTGGAACACTGGTGAGTGCAGTGCAAATTAATTCTACAGTTGTTGGTTGAAAAACAACCTCATGTCAATCTTTGTTTTTGTAGTAATACTGTGTGGATGTGAGGCACGCTTTTCGGATACCATCATTGTGTTTAGAGCACTTAGACCGCCCCACATGAGAGCTCGCAGACGTATATCACAGCTACATCACGCAGTCATCTTGTAGCAGCCACCTGTCAGTAACTATTTCTGAAAACGAAATGTCGCTTCTGAAAACAAGGAGTAGCAGCAGATATGACGCAGTAGCTCCGCACATTGCACCTACGACAGTTCGCATGGGCAGCGGGTTACAGCATCGGTACATGTGTTTTCTTTTGCGGAATAAAGCCTACAGCTCATAGTGGCGCTGGTGTCATTCCCCCTTTCTGTCGCTGTGTCAGTGCACAATGAAAAAAATCTCTTACGATGTGTTCTTTTTTCATCGGCCAATGTGTGTTTAATCCTGTCGCTTGTGCACAAGCCACTCGACCTCCCTCAGACCACTTAAAAAAGGCTACATTGAATATGGTGTCTTGCGAGGCATTTGTGCACTTCGCTCTCGTGTACCCAGAGCTGTCGGCTTTTCCCTATATAAGTCGCATTAATCATAATTTCTCAACAATGCGGAATATGTTTCGCTTGATCTTTTCTTGTAGAGTGTTCGACATGTGGGAACACCAGGTGGTGTGCGGTGTACTGCCCAATCACAGCTGGACAAAAACTTGCAGCTTGGTGCGTCACGTGGCAGCAGGCGACGCCACTCTGTGATTAACGAACATTTTGTGGAGGTTAAAGCAGAAGACAGCCTCCCTTCCAGAAGCCAGCTTGGACCGGGCATCATCACATACGAGCGGCCCTTCAGGTTTGCTGTGAAGCAGTTATTTTTCGAGGAAATGCATGGATACAGCATTTTGACCACTCAAGCATTTTAGCAGTTTAGCCACTTGCCGTTATGTGGTCACAAATGGAATCTTATCAGTGCAAGCATTATGATTGTGATCTTTTTAGACTGTACACTGCATATGAAACAACTGACATTATGACACTTGTGTGGAATCCTTTATTAGTTATTCATTATGATTATTTTATCATGTAAGTTGAAACAAGGATAAGCATTCACAAGCTACAATATGCTCTGTGTTGTAGCATAGCTATTTCAATATGGGTTTTAACATGTCACAAATTTAGTATCTCATGAATGTGTAAATAAAAATACCGTATTTACGTAATGAACTCACTTCTTTTCTCAAAAAATCAGACCAAAGTAGGGGATGCGTTTATTATATGGGGCAAACTTTATGAAGACTTTTTCGGGATAAGCAAGAATTGCGGCAATGAAAAAAAAAGAGTTACGTCGCTTAGCTTTTAGCAGTTGACATACGTGTACACTGTTTGGATGCAGCATCTTTGTTGCACTTAACTCGTCTTTGGTGGTTGATGGCGCTATCTTTTGCAAGCTGTCCCCGCGTCACCCGCGCACGCCATAAAAGCGTTTTGTAGCTATCTTATCTCGCAATTGTTGAACTACAACAGTGGTATCTGTTGTGATCTCGAGGAGCGCCCAGAAGCGTGCGCTACCATGCTACGACACACTTTGCAAACTTCGTGGCAACCTCGCACGACGACCGCGATGACGCCGTTGACATTGTAGCAACTAACCAGCATTACAGCAAGCTACCCCCGAAGCATCAAAACAAACCGTCGATAACACGATTAATGACAGAATACGGCTGCCGCCTCGCTTCCACACGAGAAGTTCCGGTACGCCCGGAGAACAAGCGAAACGAGAATGGAAAGTGCTACCATGTTGCAGAAATCGTCGCGATAGTGACAAATGACTCTTCGCGAAAGCGAATCCTGTTGTTGTTGTTGCTCAAAAATCGCGTGCACATAGTTGGGCCTTAAAGTTTTATATTTATACAGGAAACAACTGTCGGCTGGCGCGTTTAGTTTCGTGACCTTCGCTCGCTGTGTGAACATCAGCTGTGATGTCTGACACTAGCACAGTTCGTGAATCCCGCTGCGGCGCACAGATAATAAAGAAAATACAGCGAATGTGCTGCACCCACATAGAAAGAAGAACAATACGGCGTGCAGCAGTGGGAGAAGGGGGGGAAGGGAGCGAGTCAAGATGGCCGAGGGGGTTAATAAAACGGATAAGATCCAACCTGTAAGAAGGTGCCAGGTGTCATTTACCGGGACTGCAGCGAATGAATGTAGGTGTTGCGTTTATTAGGCTGGAAAAAAAAAGTCCAAATTTTGACAACTGAAGTTGGGGGTGCGTTTATTATGAGAGTGCATTCACTACGGGAGTAAAGATAATATATTGCAAAATAACAAAAAGGCCGACCAAGGCGAAATACACAAAACTTAAAAAGACATTTCGGCTCCCCACACGGGAGCCTTGTTCACAGTCTGTGAACAAGGCTCCCATGTGGGTAGCCAAAACGTCTTTTTAAGTTTTGTGTATTTCACCTTGGTCTGCGTTTTTGTTATTTTGCACTATGTTTGTCCCCGATCAGACGGGATTCCATCGGACTCCTGACTATATATATATGGTATATCTTGAAGTGCTGCAGTGAGGAGTAATGATAGTAATTTACGTTTCTATATTGCAGTATTTGTTCTGTATAAATTGTTTTTTTTTTGGCAGATGTGTGGTGCTTAGCGGTGCCAGTGGGACGGTGATCGTGGCTTTTTTGTAATACATTTCCATTTTGTTTCTTTGCTATAATTTTTTTTTTCTGTAATAGCTAGGGGGCCTCAATGGTAAATGCTACGAGCTTAAAAATGCATTCCAGAAAGAGCTTTCGTTTGATAAGGAAAGGGTCTAACTATTCAATTTGCCCTTACGCTAGCTTGTTTAATATTTTCATTGCAGCTTTCATGTCAGTTATGACTGATGCTACATTATTTAAATATGAAAGTGTATTCTTATGTAGAACATCTGAGGTCAGTTGCCTTGGTGTTCATGTTTCAATTCAGGGGCAAGATTCATGTGCTGTTTAATTTAATTAAACGTGAGACAACCCCAGATGGCTGAAAGTATATGGAGAAGTACACTTTGGTGTTGTTGTCAGACGCAGTTGCTTTGGGACTTTAATATCCACAAGGTGACCATATAAATTATTACCAGTGCTCTTAAAACATGCTATAATTAGCTAACTGCTCAGGAGGGAAAGTAAGTAGCTTTACAAAATAGCCACTGGTCCTACGCAGTAACAAATTGGCCTGCACTAATGGATTATCACCCAAATTATCCTTATCAAGTACTTGAGCCCATCTGCAAGGCAGCAAGAAACAAATATTCATGTGACGAGAAAACTTATTCAGCCAGATGTAGTAAATTTTTAAAAAAACTGCCAGGCTTCTTGAACAGCTTGAAAGTTTCACCAGTGAGGACAAATTTCTTACTGTGTAGGACCAGTGGCTATCGTGGATAGCTATTTTACTTTGTTAGCTAACCAGGTGATTAGCTAATGCCGACATGTAACCAAACTTGTTATACAAAGGAATAAGTACCAAAGGGTTCAGAAAATGAGCGTAGACAACCAGTACAACGATGAGGTACTATGGCTGCCCCGAAAAGGTAGGAGTCCCAAGTGTGGGTCCCGTAGCTACTTTTTCTTTGAACTTATTCAAGAAATTGCAGTGATTTCAACGATGGTAAAGCTTATGTTTAGCCACACAGTATGTATGTATTAAAGTGTTTTAATGTGATGGGAAAAAAGTTGTTCTGGCCCTGTAACTATTTTCATTCATTAATCACTTCTATTACATTTTAGTTAATCTCATGTTCACTTACACAGATTTTATGGTGAAACATAACTGATGTGTACTTTCTTTTAGAATTTTACTTGTACAATACCCATGTTTGTAAGTTTTTCTTATTTTGCCCACACATGACTGTGCTTTTGCCTTGGACGTAGTAATTCACTTTTGAAACAGACATTCAGAAGTGCAAGTGTCAACAAATTTGAATGAAGTGCATATAAACAATTGGAGACAAAACAAGCTACTGCACTTATGCCTGTTCTTTTTTTTTTTGTTCCTCAGGGTCTACAAACAAGCCATGGTTTCGCCAAAGTGCTCATCGTGTGGCTGCAGTTTCAAAGCTGTCGATAAAATGGACAAGGGCATTCAAGCTCAACTTGAAAGGAACCGAGATCACACCTACTATACAGATTCAAAGGTTCATGTATCGCATCATTTCTATCTGCAACACAGTGCCAGCTTGACTGAATTCACTGTTTGTTCAAATTTCGCATCACATTCCCGCCGGTTTTTCTTATTGGTTTGCCGAAACATGTGTTTGATGAGCTGGGAAGAGCCTTCAGCCTGATTGTGAAGTCCCCATTTCGCTATCGTATTTGAAGGTCAGTTGCTGTTAACCTTGACGCAACTGAGTGTGAGACTTCACTTTTTGACTTAAACATTCTATTTTGTATCTAGAAATTTTTGTTATCTCTACAGGGCACAAAATTTTCTTCATGGTGTCAGAAAATTTGCTTGCGAGTACCTCGTTTTCTGGCTGCCCAAAGACGTGATTCAGCACGCTCTTTGTGAAAGCTGTAGTGATTTTTCGTCAACTACTTGCCTAATCGATTTCTTTGATGTATTCATTGAAGCACAGTAGCCTGCTTCACAGAAGCAGGACATCCCACAATACAGCTAAATTTTCCCACGTAATTGCGCTGAATGGCTCCATCATATTTACATCAAAAGCATATGATGGTGAGCAAGCGATCGTTTTGTCACACCAGACAGTGACTAATGTTAGTGGCAGGGGACAAAATTCTTGCTGACTGTAGATTTACTATCATTGACCTCCTTTGCACTCAGAGTGAAGTTGTCATTGCCTACTTTTCTGAAAAGGTGGCCTCAAATGAATGGTGAGGATTTAGTGGCATTGAGACAATTAGGTATGCTGAGAGTCTATGTGTAGCGCTTCATAACGGTGTCGCAAAATGGGTGCCTTCATTGCATTCCAATTCCATTCCGGGGAACAGGGATTTGCCGCCATTTCATTTCTTTTGATTTCTCGAAAGGAAAAAAGTTGGCCCATTTCTACTCCAGGAATTGTGGGACAATTCGATTCTGTACCTTCTATTCCTCATGTAGGAAATCTATCTTGATAGTTTTATTGAATTAAGAATGAACGACACCGTAAATATAGTGTCATGAGATGCAATAAGAACTGCAAAAATACATAAAACACGTCACAAAGGTCGAGGGTCAGTACCTTAGTGGCATATCTCGTGCAGTAAAAACACCCCACTAATTCCCATAGGAGCAGTTCTCCCGAAACATATAGTATTTTATGGTAAGCATGTTTGAATGAATGGTGATATTTTGATTGTTTAAGCTTAAATTTGTTAATGCTAAACTGATGACGTAGCACATTTTCATCTTGACAAAATTAGTGTTCAAGAATACTAAGCAGTTTTGCCCTATGTCTCGAGTAGTCATGAATATGAAAAAAACTAAAATTTGGTTAATGAGGAACAAAACGCTCTTAATCTGCTGGTATTAGATGGAACAGTGCACCATCACTCGGGCACCTTGTGCCTTTGTATTCAATATGGAACACAGGGCCGCACTGTTCGTCAGCACTCATGCTTGTCAACAGCGCCTCGCTAGCATGGATGGGGTGAGGAAAACTTCGTGTTCACCTGTGCGCAGGTATGTAATGTCTATCTTGTCGCAAAGGTTATTTACGTGTGTCAGGCACTAAACTGCTCGTGGGATAACGATCAGGCTATGCATAGAGTATTCACCCCTTTCATGTGGAGTAACAATGAGAATCACCGTGCAAGGATAATTTGTTTCTCCTTTCAGTATCTATTGGGATACTGTATTTGTTTGTGTGCCAACTTATGCTGTGGTTTCTCTTTTAAATTGGCAAAATTTTTTTTTGACTTGGCTTTTTTAATTTGGGGACTGTAGCTGAGGTGCCGCCAAGGGCGAAAAAATCACATAAGGCATAAAGTGGAGGGGGGGGGGGGGGGGGGGGGGCATGCTGCCGTCGTATTTGTGCTCACCTGGGGTTACCCAAAAAACAGAGAGAAACTTCAGAGGAGCACAGTCAATATAAGGACAAACTTAAAAGGCACGTTGCTTTTAAATGTATTGTGCTGGTACGTAATCAGCCAAACCATTTTCAAACTGCTGCTTTGTTGTTAAATTTGAGGCTCTTATTTACTAATGTTTGAAGTTTGTAAAATAGCACATAGACGAAAACGTGTTCTATTTTCGGCAAAAGACATGATTTTATTCCCATTCTAATCCAGGCAAGAGGAGCCTAATTCTATTCCCATTTTATTCTTCCAAGCATTGTTTCCGTTCTATTCCCATTCCATTCCGGGGTCACAAAAATGTGTAGTGATTCTGGAATCACTCCAATAGACTTCTTTCAAGCTCACTAGTACCGTCAACGAGCACCGTCAAGCGCTTATGGGTAAAGTTTGTACGCCGCAGCAGCCGCCGCAATGAGCGCACGGGCCTCATGTTTCGACCATTTACACCGTGCCAGCGCTTCTCAGATCAGGTGAACTCGCCAAGGTGAGATGCATTACTGCGTGATTCGCTCACTAACTTCACTGTTTAGGTGCGATGGCCTGTCTGCAATTTTACCTTGTCCCCATTTTCAGCCAGCTGAGCGACTAAGAAGCATTAGTTATTATCTTTTAGGGTCAGCCGCCTTTTGCATAAGCAAAAAAAAAAAAAAACAGTACAACTTGGTTGTCTAAAAGCTCCAAGCACTGTCCATAAATTCACGGATGCATTAAGAATCACTGTCCTTTTACGAGTAAATTATACTGTTCTGGCATATTCAAAGAGTGCCTTAAAAATTAACACAATTTTGTAAAACAAAGTACCTTGACTAAACCACTGTGAGCCGCTCGCAGCATGTGCATCTATCAACTTGGCTTGACGCTGTAACTGCAGGTTGGATTAAACAGTGATGGAAGTGTTGCTCCGATTGCTCCAAACTGCTCTGAAAGAGAAATGCTGCTCCATGCTGTTCTAAAGTGCAATATTTGCTAGTAACTGCTCCAAACCTGCTCCGAAATAGTGTTGGCAAACTAAAGAGAATGAAGTTGAATCATGGGAACCATCCCGTGAGCTTAAGCGAAACCAAAAGCAAGCTGTATGCTGTCATCCTAGTATGCTACTCAGTGGCGTAAATACAGAAAAATCACGAGGTTGACACATATCAGGCCATGCTGACCAATTCGTATTCTTAGTATTGGTTTTGTATTTTTATTTATATAGGAATTTAATCATGCTTTCAAATAGAATTTTAAAAAAGCTAGCGTCGGGTCCGAGCTCGACCAATTGCATTGTTCTATTCAGTTTCTTTTTATTCACCTTTTTACGATTTGCATAGTTCACACAGCTCAGGGGCATTTAATACAGCTATGCAGTAACAGATAAAAAGCCTTTTAAAAAGTTGATTGCACTATACTTAACTAGCTATTAACTTAATCATGTCACGTACTAAAGCTAAATCTGAAGGGGGACACTTGCAGGGGCTGTCTTCCCCAGCTTGATCACAAGAAAAGTCCGGACTCCTTTGACCCCCCTCCCCATGATTTATGCCAGTGATGCTACTATACGGTTGTATACTAGCTGCATACTAGCATACGGCATGTGTAGTAATAAATATGAATATTTATTAGATGTTTAAGTGATGTTTCAGATTTCAGGAGTCGTTGAGAACACGCATCTGCTCCAAATACAGCAATAGCACAACCAAATACACCAATAGAACGTTAACAAGGTGTAGTGTTCTTTATGATGTGTCTCCGAGACTTCTCGCGTGGTTTGGTTAGGATCACTGTGCAAGATTACCAGGCCTTTAAAGATGAAATTGCATTTGTATGACTCAAAATACGAGATGCGATGAGATGGGGCTTCATTGAATGAATTTTCATGCTCTCTGAGGCACGTGTTGATACATCAACCAGTCTGACCAATGTATCTGAACGCAAGAGGAATTCTGTTAGCAACTCTTGCACAACAATCCAGTGAACAATTGGCATGCCTCTCATAGTACTTTTCTCTGCCCACTGCAGACCTATCCGACCCTTCGCGCTCTAGGAAGAAATGTTACTAAGCTCAGTCACGGTGCGGACAACACAACTCTGACCTCGTTTCACTTCCTAATTTCCTTGCAGACTGTGCAGAACCTATGCATGGAATAACTGCAATATTTTTAATTTCTTCGGTGGTGAAGGTCGTTCGATTAATCTTTGTGCGTATGAGCTGTTTACGAACCGACGTACATTCGAACTCTTTTATAAAAGATACTGATAAGAGAGACAAAGGGGTATAAGAGGCACCAGTGTGCCTACAGTAAAATACGGGTTGATAATAAAATGCATACGAGGTGCCCTGCTTATAAGAGACATGTCATACAGAAGACAAGAATTGCGGCCCGGAGCATGCCTCTTATATAGTGGTTCGACTGTCATACGACATAGACAGGACACCGCGCCTTGTTGCAGCTGGAAACTTTTGCTCAAGTATGGTGCCCAAGTTCTTTTTTTTTTCTTTGCCGAGCATAAGCTCATTATTATTCCTCATTTATATGGGTATAGCGCATCACGACAAGGACACAAAAAGAGAGACACACACATACAGCACTAACTTGCAACATATGTTTTATTTGCAATCACACATACTATTTATACAATAACAGTAGACCGATAAAACGTGGAAAATATCATGTTAAAATACAGCACAGCTCATGCACGTGTCATCACCAATTGTGACAAATTGCACTCGCCAACGACAAAGTGAAGAATCTAGATACTTCTTTTCTTTAGCTGACAAAGCTATGGAAGCCACACTCACACATTTTTCTTTCAATTTGTCAATTTCATAGGCTTCAACGATTTCACGCGGCCCTATCAAACCATGATGGTATTAAAAGCCATAGCACTTTATGAGCAGTTCATCATTGAATAACGACGAATTCAGTGTTTTGGCTCACATTCCTCACGATAGCATGTTTTGACCACATGTATCAATACACAACAACTCGCATGCCACTCATCTTCTACGTTTCATGTACACCCCGTCCACTAACTGCATTATTCATTTCACATTTCATTTGTAGATATATACGCAGGTGCATTCGGACTCTAACAAGCGGCGGCATGTTGTTTTTGTTTTGTGCTCACATGG